AATTTGCTTGTTTTCATGTGTATCTCATATAAGTATATATTTTTCCCGCTTTTGATTTTTGCGAAACTGGATTTTCCCTAAAGGGCAGAGAATTTCACCTAACATTCGATACCCTACGTGCATGTTTTTAGCCTAAACTCTACCAAGTCTCGTCTCGATGTTTTCTTGATCCAATGTACTTATCGTGGCCCGAAACCGATAATACCGGCGCAGCCGCGGTGAACGGTTGCCTTTTATTTTGCACTGATCCGGGAGTCGGCTTGCCTGCCCGGGCCCTGGTGCTGTTTGTGGGGCTGTTTTTGTCGGGGTGAGACTCACGCACACACACAGCAGATATCTCTGCTCCGGGGCCTGGCTCATTGCGGTGTTGACCGCTTTGCGAGAGGGGATACTGCCCTTTCTCCTCTTTTTTCCTTCTCAATCCCCCGAGGCTTATGTTTTTTGCCCCCAGATACCCGGGATTTCATGATAACTGGTTATCCTCTTAAGAAAATTTCCTTAGCACTTTAAACCTTGAATCTCATCTAAAAAAAAGAAAAAAAAGAAAAAGAAAATAACGCTGCTTCTGACATCAGACATTGCCGGATATGCCTCGATTTGTCCTCTTATGGGTTGACCGCCTAAGCCTAAACCTAAGCCTAAGCCGAATCCTAAGCCTAACAAGGAGTCGCTTTTAGGTGCTTTTGGAGTTTCGGGACGGGACCTAGCTAGTTCGATAGAGAAAAAAAATTCTGAGCAACATCCCGTTTTCAAAAAGTGCTGATCGATAAAGGTGCTTTAGAAAATTCAATTTAATTAAAAATGTTCCCTGTTTTCCGACCCATGTGGTGATTTGAGGTGATTTGCGTCGGTCGACCGCCCCTACCACATGGGGACTTCACGCGTCCTGGATCCCGTCCTAGGCATGGCCAAGTGGCTAGTGCATTAGCCTACGAAGTTTTTTTAACCTTTTGCCGCAAGTTCGATTCTTACTTATCGTTAACTTTTTGCTTTTTGCTTATGAAAACTATGTACCGCTAATGGGCTAAAGAACCAAAAAGCAAAGGTTTAGCCAGCGCGAAGATTCGAACCCGAGGCAAAAAATGTTAAAAAGTTGGTAGGCAAGCGCGTTACCAATACGCCAATACAATCTGTGGCGGGGGCCTTGCCGGAAGGTTATGAATGGCGCCCCGTCCCGCCCCGCAAACGACGTGAACCGAGGAAATGAACCCGAAAACTAGAAAAAAGCGCGAACTTTACATTAAATTTTCTAAAACACCTTTATCGATCAGCACTTTTTGAACACGGGATGTTGCTCAGAATTTTTTTCTCTATCGAACTAGCTAGGTCCCATCCAGAAACTCGAAAAGCACCTAAAAGCGACTCCTTGTAAGCCCTAGGCCCACGCATAGTGCATTAACTACCCGTAATCGTACCTGGTTATCAAGGACAACTTTTGGGGCTGAGATTTGCGTGCTATGAATGCACAGTTTCCACCCTTTATTAGTGTGGTAAAATTATCGTTTGTCTAAACGATAACGTCATACAGGCAGTCTCACATCGATACCTTTCAAATTGTGAGACAACAAACTGTTCGTCTTAACAAGCAGCTTCAGCCACATTGAATGAGGTTTAATGACTGTAGGACATCTTGTGTGTTGTTATATATTTTATCTGCCTAAAGTGTATTCAACCCGATTTTCCGAATTTTACGACACTATCTGCTCAACGTTCCTAATCAATCGGTGTCCATATTAGCCCTGTACCCCTGCACTAAAGACCCCCGGGCAATCATAGATTGAGTGCATAGTGCTTCCTTGACCTAGGTGCAAATGAAACTTCCGGTTTTTCTATATCTGATTTATACTTTCATTTTGTTTTCTATTACATAATCTTATACACATAACGTCACCTATCTCTGTGATGTTTCATAAAATAATTCCAGAAAACTGTCGTCGACACGCCAAACCATTAGACAACAAACAGTCACAGGATGGTTGAGGAGCGCCCCGAGATTATAGTGCCCGTCAGACCCTTCCAGGGCAAGGCTTCGGCCGATCCAACCGGAAAATGTATCGAGGTAGTGAATTAACAAGTTATAACATCTATCTTTCTAGAAAACTAAATTCTATATTTACAAATTCGTTTTATAGATCCTGATCGCGGTCATGCAACGCCTAGGGCGGAAGGATGTGGTGCTGGAGGAACCTAACGACTCCCCCAAATTCATCGAAAAATTCTGCAACGACGCGGTGGCCCTGTGGAAGCAAAGGGGCAAGGACTCGGAGATTGCTTTTAAGGTATCACAATCAGCTGATAACTAATGTGCACTATTTTAATCCATAAATCCTAGAATTAATAACCGTTTTCAGGGGGTTCTGGCCATCTTGGAGCTCTGCTTGTCACAGTGGTCACATCAATCTGCAATTTTCGAGTCTCTAATCAATGCGCTCGGATTTCGTTCAGTGGCGTTTTGGAGGGTGGCGATGCCGGTGGTAAGTAAAAGAGAGAGAGAGAGATAGAGAGAGAGAGAGAGAGAGAGAGATGAGAGAGACAGCGAGAGTGAGAAAGTGTGCAGAATATACCTAAATTACCTTTCCAGATCTACGACTCGGATTTGACTTTTGGTACGCAGTATCGTGACGCACTACTGTTCAGCTTGGCCCTGTATGATGTAAACAACAGCAAGAATAAAATGCGGTAAACTGAAGCGTACCTTAACTGAACCTATAAATATAGTGAACTCTACGCTGCCGTACCTGGAGTCCGTCAAAGTATGCTCGGTGTGCATGCGAAACGGTTTGGCGAAAAGTACAACCATATGCAGGTGGGTAGCGTTTCAAAGAGCTTTAAAAAGTCTCTAAAAAATCTAAAAACTTTAGACGTTTCCACCAGGCATTTAAAAATTTTCAAAAACTTGACTTTTCAGGTAACTCGAAGCCGGACCAACTCCAGGGTGAACTCCACGCACGGGTCGGCGGAAGACTTGACGCTCCTCGACTCCCCGGAGAAGCCGAGGGACAGATTGGACAGCCTTTCAAAACCAACAAGAGATAGATGTGATAGCCTCACCAAAATCCGGGATAGATGCGATAGCTTTTCGAAGCTGGACGAGGCTCTGAATCAAGCGTTCGTGGAAGTACCATCGACAAAGGTTCGTTACGATTTCTCTCTCTCTCTCTCTCTCTCCCTCTCTCTCTCTCGCTACTAGACGAAATACCTGTAAATTGTAGCAACGCGTCATCAACGTCTCGAACGCGCCTCCCGTTTCCGTGACTCGACGTGGCAGCGGTATCTGGGAGATTAAGCAGGGATCCGGAGGTCTGGTAGCCTGTGTCGATCCGGTGATGTCGGTCGACAAGGAGAACATCTGGCTCGCCAATCTTGGAATCAACCCGCAGGGCGATGATACTTATGATGAGGTAATTATTCGCGTTCAGCTTACAAGCATGAGCCTAACCTAAGCGTAAGCCCAAGCCTAAGCCTGAGCCTATATCTAAGCCTAAAACTACGCCTAACCTAAGCTTTAGCCTTGATTTAGGAGCTTCCTCGAGGCACAAACTCCCTCGGTCTGCCGTTGATCAAGCAAGCACGAGCCGGCGAGATCTTCCACGTCCTGGAGGAGCATCAAAACAAGCCAGACGGCAGCCAGACCGAGATCGAGTGAGTGTCAATTCTTATTTCTTAAATAACCAAAGCCCTGAAGCCCAAAATTTCGTTATGTTGCAGACGTGACATGTCACTCCTCTCCGTCCTCCACGACTACAACAAGACCAACTACCAGCTCAACCCAGTCTTTGTCAACCAGGACGACTATAACGCGTATTATGGCGGAATTTCCAATGGAATCCTATGGCCAGCGCTTCATAATTTGCCGCAATATATCGTCCAGGACTACGATGATCCTCAGGTAAGCGAGTCCGAGATTTAACGGACAATAACAACCTAGACAACAATCAGAAACCCCTGCTCTTTCTAGGTCCTTGACGAGCACTGGTGCTCCTATGTTCGCGTCAACTACCAGTTTGCCATTAATGCAGCCAGGAACAGCCGGCCGCAAGATTTTATCTGGATTCACGACTACCATCTGATGCTCGTTGGCCAAATGATGAGGTCGTTGGACTCGACCTTAGAGGTTGGTTATATCTGCATCGTTCAAAAATTGAGCTTCAGGTCGGCTTCTTCCTCCACATCCCCTTCCAACCCCCAGAAGACTTCATGACTAAGTACAAGACCGTTGGGATGCCAATTTTGAGGGCTATTTTGAGATTTAAGAAGGTGGGTTACAAAAATTTAGTTATTTAAAATTTCAAGTTTATCTAAATTTTTTTACCAATCGCTAAATTTCTCAAACTTTATCCAATTTGTTTTTTTTGCAATTATAAAAGCTTAGTATAGTTAGAAGGAAATTATAATTTTTAGGTCGGCTTCCAAACCGATCGGGACCGCAGGAAATATATTGCCCTGGTCGAGCAATACATCCCAAGGGCCCGAATTCAGTACGAGGAGACTGTCGACATCTTTAATGTAAATTACGAGGTATCTAAATTTAAAAATGTCACGTCTATAATGGTACTACTTTAGGCCAACTCCTCATGCTCCCTGGGAGTCTTTCCGGTGTCCATCAAAAATGAGGATTTCCTCAGCATTGCCACCAACGATCAGACCAAGATTTTGGCGATCGATATCCGGAAAGAGGTTGAGAATGAAAAGTTTCTTTAATGGCAATTTAGGTATTGGAAAACTCGAAAGAGGATGGACGCTTTTTCTTCTCGGTTGAAAGATTTGATTATACCAAAGGAATTCAAGAGAAATTGGCCGCTTGGAGGAGGTATAGAGGTATCGGGAATTTAATTCTATCTGTTTTAGATATTTTGAAAAACACCCAGATCGTATTGGAAAGGATGTTCTGTACCAAGTTGCAGTTACGAATCGACGTACCGTCGATTCATATCGGTATGCTATACACCAAATCTTCAAAATCAAGCCCGTTTAGAAAGTACCAAGACACCTGCTTGGAGATGGCCGACGCTATCAACAAGGATATCGTCTGCAAGGACAATGAGGATTGGAAGCCGATTATTTTCGATACGGATGGTAGGTTTCGCGGTGTCGCAATCCCTTTAAAATCCGGTTTACAACCTGGTAACCCTCGATTTTCAGGACTTCCAAGGGCTAAATTGATTGCGCATTACTTGGCGATGGATATTGGTGTTGTTACGCCCTCAAAAGATGGCATGAACCTCGTGGCCAAGGAGATGCTCATCTGCAACCCGGAGGCTGGGTTGATTTTGTCTTCAGGTAAGGGCAAGGAGAGCTAGGGGAATTAACCAGAGTGATAACTTACCGACGAATTCCCAATGAGCCTAGCTTTCGCTTGCTAAACGGTTCTGGTTCGTTAGCGGGGCGGTGGGTATGTAGGAGAAACTTTCAATAAATTAGCCAGTAAGACTGGGAAGCCGCCCCCCCACCCCTCCGCTATCGAACTCGGACCTTCTATACCTCCAGTTTCAGGCGCCGGAACCGACGTCCAGCTTGGCAACGCCGGTTTCTACACTGAAGAATCACGCTGCTACCACCGCATCAGCGACATCGCCAATGTCGAAGAGTTCGCCGAAGCGTTCTACGCGGCTGCGATGGAGGAGAAGGAAGACAAAGTCGCCAATGGATCCCGCCTCAGCAACTTCTTGAAATCCCACGACATCGACGAGTGGAGCACAGCCTTCTTGGACCCGTCGTGGACCCACGAGGTCATCAGATTGGTCCCTGTCACGCAGCTCTCCGACTTCTACGTGTTGATGGACAAGACGGCGCAAGTGAGGCGGCAGATTGTGGAGAGTGTCCTGAAGGGGCTGCCGATAAGACAACATGCACAGATGTCGTTGGAAAATGCGAAGGTATACTCTAATCCTATAACAAATGAGTTATTTCTCAGAACTCGCTGGAAAACTCGTGCAAACCCGCCGGAACTACCCATTTGACCCTGCAGACCGATGCGGAAGACGGGGAAGTGCTTTCGATAAAGTACGACATCCACGACGAGCTGTCGGAGCTGCACAAGGACTTGGCATTCCTGCAGTTTATCCAGAGTGACGATACTCATAATGTCGAAAGCTTTGTTGAGGTAAGAACAGCTTATTTTTTGCTTTATCTACTTGCAAAATTATCATTTTTCTATAATCAAACTTATTTTAGACGCTAAGTGGCTTCCACCCGGATGGTCCGGCCATATTCCACGAAGAAGTGGCGAGGGCGGTGGAGTTGTTGAATGAAGGTAAGGACATTTGAAGTCTCCTAAGCATAGCCTAACCTAAGCCCAAGCCTAAGCCGAAGTCTGAATCTAGGCGACCACTTCCAACACTTCTTCACCGATCGCGACGGCACCCTGAAGAGCTACTCCTGTTCCTACCCCACATCCGTCCAACCCGCCTACTCGGCCGTCATCCAGGCCCAGTTTGCCCGGAAATGCGCCCAAGTGTGCGCGATCGTCACCACGAGTCCGTTGGTGCACATCGGAATCTTGAACATGCTGACGTTGCCTGAAGGTAATTTTTAGGTTTCTTGATTGTTTAAATTGCCCTACAAACTATGTAACAACATCTTAATTTCTTTCAGGCTACTACGCATATGGCGCATCGGCAGGTCGTGAATGGTACATTAACCCGGCGCTCCAGTTTAAGGACGACAGCCTCAGCGATGAGGACCTGAACCTGTTGAATTTGGCTTTTGAGAAAGTCGGTTTTGATTAAACTTTTAACTTAATCGTTACTCTTTCAGGTTGAAGACCTCCTCGCCAAACCCCAATTCCGGAATTTCACCTGGATCGGCTCTGGCCTTCAAAAGCATTATGGGCACATCACGATCGCCCGGCAAAACCAGGAGAAGAGCATGCATCGCGTTCTCGGGAATCTGCTGTAAGAAAGGAAAATAGAGGAAATAAGGATGATTTTCAGGTCTGCCGAGGTCCAAAAAATCGTCAAGGAGCTTGATCCGGATGGTAGCAGCCTAGTTTTGAAGGATGGCGAGTTCGAGATCAAGATTTATACCAGGACCTTTGATAGTGAGGTAAGAGTTTTACGTTCGATTCTTTCTCTATATCTATTTCTCTCTCTCTTTCCCTCACCCCCCACTATCGTCCCGCCCTCTTCTTTCCCCTCTCCCCCCCCTCTCTCTCTCTCTTTCTCTCTCTCGCTATCTCGCTCTCCCAAAAACGCTTTTGTAGATGAACATCGATGGTAAAATCTTCAACAAGGGCCATGGCGTCCGGCTTCTAAAGAAAAAGCTGAACCTCAAAATGCAGATAGGTAGGTAACGTCACTAGTAGATTCTACTTTTTGAATTCTGTAGCATCGGCAAATTCAGGAAACATTCTGGTCTGTGGCGACTCGGAGAACGACCTGCCAATGTTGGAGGAGTGCCTGGAAGAAGCGAAAGATCGGGTTTATACGCTTTGGGTCACGAGGAGCAAGCCATTAAAGGAGAAGGTAAGCGAAAACGATGCAAAAAGTACATTCACCTAGATGGAGCAATATAACCTGTTATCTGGTGTTTTCAGGTCAGCAAGCTATGCGCACAGTACGGCAATTCGCACGTCGGCTTCGTTTCTTGCCCTGGGGTAAGCTAACTGGACGAAACCTAAGCCTAAGCCTAAGTTATTTCTAAGCCTAGGCCCACGCCTAAGCCGAAGCCGAAGCCTGAGCCTAAGCTTAAAGAGATAGGGGCGGCATAAGTCAATCGATTACGCGAGGGAAGGAAAATGTCTCTGCGCCTCTCCCCTGGGGCCCTCTCTCGCGCGAGATCGCCGGGGACCTGTTGAACCCCCTCCCCAAGGGGTTCAACAGATGCGCCCTAAGTCTAAGAATAGGCCCATATCTAAGCCTAAGCCTAAACGGAAGCTAAGCCTGAGCGTGTCTTTTCGTTAAATTTTCTTTAATAACTTAAATTTTCTAGGTCCTGCTCGGCGCTATGGCCCAAGCGACCGTCCGTGTATTCAATATGCGTCCCATCAGTGGTGAAGAAGATACGGCCGCCTTCGAGGATGAGCTATAAATCCATCCTCAAATTTTCATTAGTGTGTGCAATTTTTACACCATGACTTGATGTCTTCCTTTTCCTTCATTTTTGGCTTTTGCATAATTTCTTACTTTTTCTTTGTCTTCCATTTCATCGCTCAGTCCCTCAAATACGGTCTTACAGTAAGCTACAAGATATCCAATTCTAGCCTCCACGCACCCCAAGTGATACGGTTCAACTCTTCTGGTTTGCCTTGTCGTTCCTTTTCGGGAAAATTGCCATTTTGATGCCATGTAGTCAGTGTTGTTTTGTATTTGCCAATGCTTTAGAACATTGGTCATAATTATTTGAATAAATTTTATGAAAATGAATAGAGCTAAGGCTTTCAAACGGACAGTGACGGGCTACTGTAGTTGGCAAGAAAATCGATGAAAAGCTACCTAAATATTTCAAGGGCGGCGACAGAGCACTTTGGGAAAATGGATCGTAAATAGGTTTTTCCGTAAAAGTGTAAATCTAAGAGGAGGAGTGTAGCGTAACGTAGCGCAGCATAACGTTAAAGGTATCACTTCATCTCGTATTGTTTACTTTTTCGTTGATTTAGATTAGATTTAAATGGGAAGCGAAAGATGGACTTCGGAAAATAACGGATAAATCATAATAAAACTAAATTATTTAAAGCGTAGAGTAAAGCAGAGAAATAGTGCGCAGGAAAGCGTAACGTTGCGTAGCGTAGCGCAACGTAGCGTAGTATACTGCTTGAGGTATCACTTTTCCCGTATTTTTATTGATTTTTCGGTGATTTAGAGGCGAATTTAACGTTTGCAGCTAGCCATCCTAAGCATACTGTCACGGTCCCTTTAAAACACAATCGAACCCATAAGCTTCCCAACGGCGTCAAATTTGATCCCCCAGATCCAGCCAATTGCCGCCCACCAAATTGGCCTCATTTAGGGCCCCCGCCGAGCGGAAAATATTTCGGGAACCCGGGGCCATTCACTGGGATTATGAGGGTAAGGGTAAGTCTTTTTTTGCACGAACCGGGAAGCGAAGCCATCCACCACGAAGACAATGCGTCCATCGGTCATTTGATTCGGGGAATCTGATGCTCCTGATAGAACAAATTTAGAAACGCCTGAACAAGCGTCGCTAAAAATCCCCGGACTAGAGTTCGGGTGACGGATGTTATTTTTGGAGGGTTGACGAGCGAGGGTAGGTATTTGAGGAAGCGTGATTATCCTGGTGAATAGCCCAGAATTCAAATAATATGATGTTTGTTCTGCTGCTCAATACTATCGCCCTACAAATTATTCTCTGAAATCCTCGGAAACCTAAAATTTCTCGGCAGCAATCCTTTAAAGGGACATTGACAGCAATGCCGCGCGTAGGCCGCATATGTAAGCGTTGCGTAGCTCTACGTATAGTTCAAAAAACACACACGTAAATGAAACACTTGATGCGAAGCGCGGAATCCCGTCATCTCGTATTGTCTCTAGCTCTTTTTTCTGACGATTCTCGTTGAATCTATTTATTTGTCTGCTTCTTATTCTCTTTCTATCTCTCGCGCCCACTTCATCTCTATTTATCCCTCTTTCTCCCGTGATTCCCTCGCCCTCGCTCTCACTCACTATCTTTCCCCCGCTCTCTCTGCCTCTTCTCGCGCTTTTAGCAACAGATTAGCTATCGTGAAAATCAAATTCCGTTTATGCAGAACAACCCGCAAAAAATTTGGTTGCAACTGCCAAAGACCTAGTTCCGGAATTATTCCTGGCCAGAAATTTGTAGGGCTTCTTGTTTTCCCACCCCACTTTTTGCGTCCTGGGATACTGTAGTTCGGGCCGCCGGCGGGAACGTGCCAATCCGTGTCCCGGGCCATATTTGTTGCCTCTGCTCGTGCAGGGGCCCACGGCTAATATCCACTGCAAATTAGTTTCTATACCCTGAAAGGGGAGTGGATTGTGCCCTGAACCCGACTTGAAGGACTATTCTTTCACACCTCTGTTTAAAAACAGTTTTGGAGGTTTTATTTAGTTTGTTTTTAAAAACATGGACTATTTTTTAAGAAGACCGCGGCTATTAAAGTCGAAGTGCTTAGGTAAATAACCAGTCTTCTTAGCATTCGATGATCTCGGCAGCGAAAACCCCGACATCCACAACCCCGGGCAATCCGATGGTTTTCTGAAGACCTTTCAGGATGTTTGCTGTTCGGGATTTGAAATGTTGAATTTTGAAGAACATGATTTTGGAGGTCGGTATTTGTCGAGATTCCCTTTCATTGATCTAAAAAATTTGGTTTTATTTTTAGCGTAAATTTTATTTATTTTTAATTTGTTTTTTTTTTCGACGCCGTTCTGATTTAAATTTCTTGGCATTTTTTCAGGATCCTTTAAATCATATAATAATTGTCTTCAAACATTCATGGTGTTTTAGCTAACAGGATTCAGTAAATTTGAGTAGCAAAATTTTTTGAAATTCTAGAATTTTTGCTCTTGAAAATAGTTTTATATACCATTCCGATGGTTTCTGAAGATTTTTACGACCGTGAATGGCCAAAAACGGTGCTACTGATTTTAAAAATTTTTCCGAAGATTTTCTGGAGTTTTAACGAGCCAAAGCAACGCATAGATAAATCGTACACCACATATACATTTCATAAATCTTTCCTGAATATCTCCAAGAATACGATAAACCTTCGGAACTTCCGACCCCATCGCGCCATCGGATTTCCCACTTGGCTAACGAAGGCGTTGGCTGGGGGGGCAGTCGGAGTGCCGCCTTTCACACACTCGGATTTCGGCCAATCTCCCGAGAACAGGCCGGCCAAACGGCCACTTTACCCATCCAGTATCCACAAGTCATGGCTTCAGATTGCTTCAGATTCCCATGACAGAGTCTGACTCTTTCCTGTGGAAGATGATCATGTGCTACTCGTTTTCCTGTCACACGGGGCGGCATAAGGGCTGGCTATTTATAGGGCCGCCAGTTTTTGTCTTACGGTAGTTGGGGCGCGAGGTAAACGCGTAGGTATACGCTTATTAAAATTTACTATCAGTAAGTGGAACTTGATTTGGCAAGAATCATTTTGTTGAAATTTCGCCTTTTCGAAATTTCATCCCTTCGAAATCGCATTTTGCCGAGGTTTTATGCCTCAAATATTAGAAAACCGTCATTTTTGCACATTGAAATTAAGAAAATAAGTTGGGCAACATGGCATCCCGAAAAAATGAAAATTAATTGTTTTCGACAAAATGAAATTTCGAGGAAATTTTTTCGAGAAAACAGCATTGCGTCCAAATTGAGTTTTGACAAAGTTTTAATATTTTCAACAAAATTAAAATAACCCGATCATTAGCCCTACCTACCCTTTGCTAATTATCAGCCGCGACTTTTATAGCCTTGCCCAGATCGGAAATTCGGAAGGATGCTTTTCACTCTGTTTCTATCCCGTCTTGACCTCTGTGTTACTCAAACAACTTTTCACCCCTTGTTTTTCTTTCCGATTAGAGCCGTTCCGAGTTCGGTCACTTTTCCCCCGCCAAGAACCGGAACGTCCGAAAATATTTTCCAGTCCTACCTGGATTTCGGGCGGGATTTGTATAAGTGCCGGCTTTCCTTGGGGACCTATAAATTTGGGGTTCGACGATTAATGCTTGGCTCTGAACGCTAGCAACTATCTTCTCGCTGATCGCTTTGATGTATATTAGGCTTGGAGATAGGCTGCGGCTTAGGCTTCTTCTCCAACCGCTTACGACTTTGAAATCTAAGATTCTGGCGGCTCGTCAAAATTGAAGCTTACAGTAGGCTCCCTAGGCTACGCTACGCTCCAATGCAGGCAGTGCGTAGATAGGCATAAAGCTGCGATTATTACTCATGAGCAAACCACCGTTGAATACACTACGCTGGGCTCCAACTGACGCAGTGTTCCAACGTGCATAAATATCGGCACTCAACGGGCTTCGTCCATAAATGCGCTCTACGCTATGATAGCTACGCAATGCTTCAGTTTACGCAGCCTTTAATTACGTAATAGGCTACGAACGCTACGCAAAATTCCTATCGAACCATAATTGCTACGTTACGCTCCAATGGACGCAGCTTTTCAACGCGGATACATTGGGAAATTCAAAGAGTTGCATCCTGTTCCGAATTTCCGAATTTTCCAACCTAGCTTTCCCGATTACGTAAAACCACGCACGCATCCCAGACGTCGACCGTATCGCTCTTTTCCACGTAGCTCCCTGAATACACAAAGCTTCACCTCGATCAACAGCTAACCCCGCAAGAGCCGACTTGTTTTTCCGCATCCCCAAGACGCTTCGATGAAAAAGTAATGAAGCCAATCTGGCCCTCAAGGGGTGGGGGGATGGCAAAAAGAAGTGCACCACTAGCAATCTTGCTTCCTTTTTGGATGGGCAGCTACGGTGGGCCTCCATTCAGAAGGTCCTTATAGTTGGGTGCAGCTTAAAAATAGGGAAGAAAAATAGGGGAAATTGGGCTGCTGCTGGAAAACAAAAAACATGTCTGGGGAATGTTTGGGGTGATTGTTTTGTTAAATCTGGGGCCTTTCGGGTCTTTAGTAGATGCGTGGGAGTTCGGGTTTTCCAAAATCCACAGCCTAAGGTACCCGGGGTTAGCCGCGAGCGTTTTACGAAATTCCGCCACGTCCGCGTGAGGTTCCCTTGTAAGCCTAAGTCTAAGCATCGACCTGAGCCTAAGCCCAAGCCCAAGCCTAAGCCTAAGCCTAAACCTATAGCTAAGCCGGGGTCGGCCTGAACCAAGCTCCCACCTCATCCTAAGCCAATAAGGAAGCCGTAGTCTTCGCATAAGCCTAACCCAACACGTTTACTACAACCCTGGATGACTCACTTCGAGATTGTCTTCTCGTGCTTTGCACCCAAATCCACCTCAAGATTTTCTGGAGCGACAAACACAAGAAAACTTCTTGTCCCGCATCCTCCTGTCCTCCTCGCCGACGACCACGCCGGAATTCATTAACAGCGCCCTCCTGTCTTGTGCTGAAAGCCCCTGGCCTA